GAAGGCTGGGTGTGGATAAAAACATGGACCGGGTTCGTACAAGATGAAAGAACAGGGGAAATCAGACGCAAGCTGTATGTACGGTTTGTTGTTCTGGTCTGACCCGGTGCTGTCTATCCCTTCTTGTAACATACTACATCCAGAAAACGAACACAATGCAGTTCTACAAGTATGTCAGGGACCATTAGACAAGGATCCGGATGTCAGTGCAACAGCGTTCAGTCTGCAATCCCCGCACTTGCTTCAATGTGGACGGGTGTTTGAAAGGCCTGCTGTTCCCATGGGCCATAGACCATAGAATCAAAAGCCCGAGCATTACAGAGGACCCCACTCCAGATGGGGCGTGTACTCAAGCAGGAAAAACATGAAAATTCAAAATCAAAATCCCGGGCTGTTTAGTTTTTGGCGATGCCCTCGTGGCACCACAGCACCCAGGGCACCAGGTGTCCTAACAGCCCACTGTCTCATTGTCTCACGTCTCCATCAACATGTTGTAAGTGGGGTTTCAGTACGTCGAGCACCTTACAAGCTACAATCACCATGCTCACCAGAGAGCATGACATGCGTGTACAATTCGAATGCATCGGCTGAGTTGCAAATGCTGGCGCATCGGTCAGCTCTTTGTGCTGCGTTGAACTCAGCGCCACAAACCGTCTAGGCAAGACACCTCTGGAGCGCGTTCGCGAAATCCTGGCACAGTTTGCAAGCTTTGGGTTCTGGTCAAACACATTGTCACATTCCAAAGCATGCAGGTCCAGAACATTCCACAAATCTGAACTTTAGAACTCAACTCACTTGGGACAGTTGTGGAAAAGGGAAAAGCCTCTCCCCTCTTTTCCCTTCAAGAGCTTACTGTCACACTGCGGCACGAGGATGAGCCTCCAACATCTTCTGGCATGCGCCCATCACGTCCCCGTGGCATGAAGCCCACATGTCGTTGCAAAGCGCTCACCGGCACCACTATTGCCATCATCGACTGTCATTGCTCTTATGGCCATCTTTAGCATCGTCGTTATCATCATGACTGTGGTCTGCTATTGCAATGGCTACCACTGTCACTCAGGCTATGACTATCTTTCACTACTATGCATTTTTACCTTACTGCTACTACTCGTGTGACAGAGATTGCTGGTAATAAATAGTGTTCTCGCTGTACTGCCGGCGTCAAAAAGTTCTTGCAGCTCTCCACGTCTCTCGAAATAACCTGAGCAGCCCACGCGATGTTCCGGAGGAGTCACCTGCACCGTGTTTTTAAACATGACCATTTTTAAATTGAGACATTCAGAAGGACTCGCGATGCTCCAGGTTCCAGGCTTAGGCCATTCACAGGAAAAGAACCCCAACTAACCAATCAGAGAATGTCATAAGCAAGCGAGACGTGATGACCGCGTCCCCACAAAAGAATCCCGCGCCTTGCAGCTGGGCCACCCTCCTCAGCTGATCGTGGCTTTGCAGTCGTCTTGTCAATCGAAAATGGGCTAAGAGGCGAGCTCTTTCAGCTGCTGCACACGTCGCGGTTCGACGATGAGAGCCCTCCCACACGGCACAAAGATGCTGAAACCCTCAGTAAGGCTGGAACTCTCAACTGAGACGCAGACTCTTTCAGGACATTTAACTCCAGGTCCTTCATGCGAAGCCTCAGAAACTAGGAGAAGGTCCGGCAAGTCACAGTCCAGTCAGCTCCGTTGCACTAATCTTTCTGTCTGCAGTCTGCTTCTACAAAGAAACATTGTCTGTGCTGCTGCTCCCCTGCATCTGCTAATGGTCCGCTTCGGCAACACAGCAGCCTTTTCCAATCTACGAAAGGAAAGGGCTCATGGATCTGCAGATCGTATCCTTCTGTCAACTTCATCGCATGGATAAGACCTATGCGGCCTGCGAGCAAGACAATGTTCATCAGAGCCCTCGGGCCCCAAAATCTGCGTAGACCAAATCCTGGAGTTCAGCCTCACCTTCCCTCAAATTGAGAAGATGGGCGTTTGTATGGCCATGTCTCCCGCACACGTCCAAACACTGGGCCGCAGGCTGCGAAAGAAGTGCACCCTGACGTCACGCGCGACATCGCACGACCCTCTTGGCAAGCTATAAAACCAAAGTTTTCTGGGTTCTATAGATGTTATATAGGGATTATGGTCCATAATAAGTACAAGTTATTCCTGACAGTGACTCAGAGGAGCGGGTTCGGCTACAGCGTTCCAGACAAGAAATCCGCAAGAGGGTCCCGGTCCAGGCCTCCATCTTGTTGTATGCCGCCTGTTCAGACAAGCTGGCGTAAGAACCTATGCACTCACCAATTGGGCCCCTAAATCCAAACTGCCAGACCCTAAACTTAAATCCTAGACCCTGAACCCTAAACCTGATAGCCAAGACTTTGGACCCTAAATCCCCAACCCTAAAACATTGCCACCTTGCAACTTGTAGCTTACTCTTGCCTCGGCCTGCTGTGCAGCATGGTCAGCTGCCTTTGCAGATAGACACAGCCACGCGGCTTAGGGTCTAGATGGGTCTAGGGTTTAGGGCTTAGGGTTTGGAGACCTTTCAAGCTGGCAGCATCGGTATTGCCCGATGCTTGTGCCTGTGATTGGTGCAGGCTACTCATCGCTAGTCTTCTGAGAGTCTGGCCAGGCACATGCCAAACCCCGGCAAAACCCTAAGAACGGCTACAGTACAACGTGTGTATACGCACGCCTGCAAACATGACAGTCACGGAAGTATGGATGGACTAAACTGCGCAGCAGCCCCCAGCTATCGGCGGCCAATTCCTCCAACTAAACTCCACGGGTCCCCGACGTCTTGGAAAGAAGCAAGCCTTAGCCAATAGTGCTGCCGCAATCTTGCTGCAAAGTACGCAGTACGCTTGACCGTCTAATCACTCTCATTGTTCTTCCTATCCCTCTCCCTCGAATGGTCCTTACTATCTTCATATTGTTATCCTCCCTACTACTCTTACCAAAATTCTCCACATGATCATCACCAACTGCTGCCCTGGCGACCCTTATGTAGACCTGCTCCTGCTAAGATTTTGAACGGTGCCACTCAGGTCAGGGCTTGTCACGGGCTTTGGCCTCGTCGAGCAAGCATGGTTGTGGAGGAGTTGGGGGACTTGGGAGGTAGAAGTACTGGGTG